GAGTCTCCTGCCTCAGCCTCCCAAGTAGCTGGGACCACAGGCACTTGCCACCATGCCTGGCTCTTTTTTGGTTGCAGCCATCGTTGTTTTTTGGCGAGCCCCGGCTGGATTCAAACCCGCCACCTTAGGTGTATGTGGCTGGCGCCTTAGCCACTTGAGCCACAGGTGCCGAGCCAAGATCTTGTCTCTTGACAAAAAAAATAGGCAACACCAGGTGCAGTGGCTCACGCCTATACTCATAGCACTCTGGTAGGCCCAGATGAATGGAATGCCTGAGCTCAAAGGTTTGAGACCACCCTGAGCCAGAGCGAGACCTCATTTCTAAAAATAGCCAGGAGCTGTAGTGAGCACCTGTAGTCCCAGCTATTTGGAAGCCTGAGGCAAGAGAATCACTTGAGCCCAAGAGTTTGAGGTTGCTGTGAGCTGTTACGCCACCGCACTCTAGCAAGGGTGACAAAGTGAGTCTCTGTCTCGAGGAAAAAAAAAGAAAGAAAAGGCAAAATGTACAATATATTGCCAGCCCAGAGTATTACAAAGAATTTTGAACTTTAAAAACCAATAAAAACCAATAAACTGAGGACCTCTAAAACTTTTAGTAAAGTTTAGATAAGTTTTTTAAATTATTTATTTAGGCTCCGTGCCTGTAGCTCAGTGAATAGGGCACCAGCCACATAACACTGAAGCTGGCAGATTCAAGCCTGACCAGGTCCTGCTAAACAATAATGACAACTGCAACCAAAATATAGCCAGGTGTTATGGCAGGTGCCTGTTGTCCCAGCTATTCAGGAGGTTGAGGCAAGAGAATTGAGTAAGCCCAAGAATTTGAAGTTGCTGTGAGCTGTGATGCCACAGTACTCTACCGAGGGCAAGATAATAAGACTATGTCTTAAAAAATAAAATAAAATAATTTATTTATTTATTTTGAGGCAGAAATTTCACTCTGTCACTCAGGCTAGATTGCCATGGTGTCATCCTGGCCACAGCAACCTCAAACTCCTGGGTTCAGGCTATCCTTCTGCCTTAGCCTCCCAAGTAGCTGAGATTAAGCCACTGTACATAGTCTAGAGTTTAGGGTTATTTTGTTTGTTTGTTTGTTTGTTTGTTTGAGACAGAATCTCAAGCTGTCGCCCTGGGTAGAATGCCATAGTATCATAGCTCATAGCAACCTTCAACTTAAGACTCAAGCAATCCTCTTGTCTCACTTTTTCTATTTTTAGTAGAGACAGAGTCTCGCTTTTGCTCAGCCTGGTCTTGAATTTGTGAGCTCAAACAATTCACCTGCCTCAGCCTCCAGGAGTGCTAGGATTACAGGCATGAACTACCACACCTGGCTTGGAATTTAGATAATTTTAAAGCTGAGAATACAAGTAAATAGTGGGAAGCTGCTGTTTTAAGTATAGTGTCAATATTCCAGTATTATTGAGCTTTCAGAAGTTCCACAGTAGAAGTAGAGAGCTCTGAAAATTTCTGCTGTGAAAGAATATAGAACTCTGTAAATATTGTTGGTCATAATAATGTTTATATAGCCTTTTATAAAATATTTTTCTATATAAAATGTCATATAGCACTACATAGCATGTATGTTTGTGAGTGCCAAAGGACTTTTTGAAAATATATTTCTGATTTTATGATAGAAGTCAATATGAAGGCTTGGCGCCCATAGCTCAGTAGGGTGCCAGCCACATACACCGAAGGTGGCAGGTTCGAGCCTACCCTGTGCCTGCTAAACAACAATGACAACTGCAAACAAAAAATGGCCGGGTGTTGTGGCAGGCGCCTCTGGTCCCAGCTACTCGGGAGGCTGAAGCAAGAGAATCGCTTGAGCTCAAGAGTTTGAGGTTGCTGTGAGCTGTGTCATTACGGCACACTCTACCGAGGACGACATAGACTCTGTCTCAAAAAAAAAAAAAAGACGTCAATATGAAAATTATGTACACTTGATTGAGAGATGCTAAAATACATTCATTTCAAGAAACAGAAGGTGGTTTTAGTTGATAGACCCTCTGAAAATCCTAATAGCTTTAAGACCAATGAGCTCAGGTGCTCTGCAGAGTATAGTACAAATAATACAATACTGATGTAATAATGTCAACAAATGAGGAACTCTGCTTCCAGATAGCCTCTGTGGGGCAGAAAACTGACCTTTAATATTTTTATGCTAGTCTTGACACATTTTCTTTTTATATTTTTAATTTTATCTTCATTTATTTCCTTAAATTATATCAAGTGTTAACAATTCTTCAGATAACTAGAACATGAAATGCTTTTGATGTTTTTTAAAGGTCTGTCAGTTCCAGCTGTTCCTGGAGCTCTTGGTCCTCTTGCAATCACTTCCTCTGCTGTCACTGGACGGATGGCTATTCCTGGGACTGGTGGTATACCAGGAAATTCTGTTCTGCTTGTCACCAATCTCAATCCTGATGTGAGTTGAAAAGTATTGTTTATAAATAGTCTTTAAGGAGTGGTAGCTTCCGATCTCAGGTTGTATTGAAATTAAAATGCTGAAGTTTGGCTCAGTAGTTAGGACATTGGAGCTGGTTGGATTTGAACCCAGCCTAAGCCTGCTAAACCAAAAAAAAAAAAAAAAAAATTAGCCAGGCAGTGTGGGGGGTGCCTATAGTCCCATCTACAGGAGAGGCTGAGGCAAAAGAATCACTTGAGCCCAAGAGTTTGAGGTTGCTGTGAGCTGTGATGCTATGGCACTCTAGTGAGGGTGACATCTGAGACTCTGTCTCAGAAAATAATAAAATAAAATAAAATGCTTAAGTTTGTTTTAAGGATTTTTGTTAAAATTCATCACTGGCTGGCATATATAAAAGAAGCATATAAAACCTTGTTTTAAACAAAATCAACTGTTACTACATTATAAATGAACTTATTTTAAATTTTTACTTAAATTATTTAGTCAGACATTTATATTTTGTGTTATCCTTTTCAAACAGCTTATCACACCACATGGGCTTTTTATCCTGTTTGGTAAGTTCGTTTCTGTTCAATATTGTCTGTAGAGGTGAATTGAGCACATTTTATTTAGTAATACATGTCTTTATTGATGACCTTTATGTGCCAAATATTGTGTTTAATACTGAAGCAGAGCGGCAGTAAGGCATGGTCAGTGACTGGCAGTCTCCCTTTCCTTCTTGGGGATGCCATGCCGTTCTCTTTTTCCCTCTCTCACCCCCCCTTCCCTTTTCTCACTCCCTGCTCTCTTCTCTCTCTCTCATCTCTTCCCCCTCTCTGATATAAAGTAGACTTACACTTTCATATTCAAAAAAAGATTTAATAAGTTATTACAACAATGTTTTATAATAAGGGAAATAGAGGACTGTAAAGGGGAATGTGAAGCAGGGACCACAGCCTAGCTGAGGGACACAATAGAAGTGACAGTTAAGCTGGCTGTGACAAATGAGTAAGAGTCAGCCAGGCAGAAAGGGAAGGCAGCTGTCTTTTCATAGTTACTGCAGAGAGAGAGAGAGTGATATCCTGGTATGTGGAAGTAAAGGAGCCCCAACAGAGAGTGCGAGAGGGACATGCTGAAGCTGGACAGATGCATGAGGGACAAGGTCATGTAGAGCTTTGTATGCAGTGTGAAGGGGTTTGGTTTTAACTTAAGAACAATGGGAAGCCATTGAATGGTTTTGAGGCAGAAGAGTGGCATAGTGAGATTCAGATTTTTAAAACCATCTCTCCACACTTTCTAAGCGTGTTCCTCTCTCAGCTAAAAAGTAAAATTAGTGTGCATTCCCAATTTTTATATAATCATTTACAAATTACATACAATTTTTATTATACTTAATATATATGGTATGCTATTATGCAAGAATAGAAATGTGACAGTAGTGAAATAAGCTCTATTTAATATTTTAAAGATTTTTTTTCTTTTTTTTCAGTTTTTGGCCGGGGCTGGGTTTGAACCCACCACCTCTGGCATATGAGGCCGGCGCCCTACTCCTTTGTACCACAGGAGTCACCCTAAAGATTTTTTATTAATGACACTTTTCTACTTCTCCATAAAAACTGTTAATATTTACTGAGAAATATAATTGAATATGCTTTATTAGTTTTAAAAAGTCTTTGTTTTTCATGTTGACTCACTATTCAAAGTGTTGATTATTAGTCTTTGTCATGTGAAAAATATAGGTCATAAAGATGTGATCGATTTTTATTATTTATTTATTTAGGGTCTCAACTTTGTTGCCCTTGGTAGAGTGCTGTGGCATCACAGCTCACAGCAACCTCAAACACCATGGCTCAAGTGAGACTACAGGTGCCTGCTACAACACCCTGATATTTTTTAGAGACAGGGTTTTGCTCTTGCTCAGGCTGATTTCAAACCTGTGAGCTCAGGCAATCCACCTGCCTCAGGCTCCCAGAGTTACTAGGATTATGGGCGTGAGCCACCACGCCTAGCCCTTAAAGATGTGATCTAAATCAAAGTCTTTCATTGTTGCTGTACTTAATTAATATTTTACTATATTTTCATCAAATCCACTGATCCTTGTTGTACTTTATCTAGGAAAGTTCCAAAACTGTTGTATTTGAATATGCTTAACAAAAGGGGTTAAAACTCACTGGTACATTTGTAAGATTATTTTTAATAACTTAGAAATTTGTTTCTAAATTATTTGAATGGCAATAGGGTTTTTCTAAATAGCATTTTTGAAGTTTAATTTATAACCATACAATTTACCTGTTTTAGGTATACAACTCAATGATTTGTAGTAAATTTACACATTGGTGCAGCC